TCGCAACCGTTCCTTATATGTTTTAGCCTCCAGTCCCCTAATCATCTTTGTTGCTCTTCTCTGTACTCTTTCTAGAGGCTCAACATCTTTTTTACATCGTGGTGACCAAAACTGGATGCAGTATTCCAAGTGTGGCCTACCAAGGCATTGAAGAGTGGTATTAATACTTCACGTGATCTTGATTCTATCCCTCTGTTAATGCAGCCTAGCACTGTGTTGGCCTTTTTGGCAGCTGCAGCACACTGCTGGCTCATATTTAAGTGATTGTCTACTAGGACTCCGAGGTCCCTCTCACAGTTACTACTATTGAGCATGGTGCCACCTATGCTGTACTTGTGAATTTGGTTTTTCTTGCCTAAATGTAGAACCTTGCTTTTTTCACCATTGAATTTCATTTTGTTAGTTAGTGCCCAGTGTTCAAGTCTGTCCAGATCCTTCTGTATCTTAAGCTGTCTTCTGGAGTGTTGGCTATTCCTGCCAGCTTGGTGTCGTCTGCAAATTTGATGAGTTCCCCATCTATCCCTTCATCCAAATCGTTGATGAAGATGTTGAAGAGTACTGGGCCCAGAACAGAGCCCTGGGGCACCCCACTACACACTTCCCTCCATATAGATGCAGTTCCATTGAGGACCACTTGCTGAGTATGGCTGGTCAGCCAGCTACGGATCCATCTGGTGGTGATCCTGTCTACCCCACATTTTTCTATCTTATCAAGTAGTAGGTTGTGATCTACTTTATCAAATGCCTTACTGAAGTCCAAGTAAATTATGTCCACAGCATTCCTCTGATCCACTAATTTTGTCACTTGGTCAAAGAATGCAATAAGATTTGTCTGGCATGATCTATTTTTGACAAACCCCTGTTGGCTTTTAGTAATGACTTTGTTTGCCTCTAGGTGTTCGTTGATTCATTGTTTGATTATCTTTTCCAGGATCTTCCCAGGTATTGAGGTCAGGCTGACAGGTCTGTAATTTCCTGGATCCATTTTTTTTCCTTTTTTGAGGATGGGAACTACATGCTCTTTTCCAGTCCTCTGGTAGTTCCCCTGTGTTCAGAACTGCCCAGACTGACTACAAACAACAGCATGACAAAGTAGCAACAATGCTCGGTAGAACTTTCATCCTGTGATGATACTTTAATAATGTCAAACATCAAGATCTGCCTATCCCAGGTCCTTAGGAAAGACACAATAGGTGAACAAAAATCCAGTCTAAACCTCCATCTGACTGTGCAATGAACCATAATAATAATTTCACACTTTGCTAAGAGTATTTATGGGGAAGGCAAGGGAATGATTCACAAGATTCATTAACATTCTGTCTATATCTTCAGTAGACATTTCATTTCTCCATTGAAGTGCATGAGCTGGCAATGTCAGATTGTGGGAAAACCTGCATAGAGTCCCCTAAATTACAGAAGACTACACAAATCTTGTACATCTAAATTAGAAGAGGCGTAACGTGCATCTTCTTTAAATATCCATCACATCTTCCACATGTTTGATATATAGAAATTTTAAGTATATTTTACATGATAATGAACATTTAAAAATCAATATTTTATCATAAATAATTATAGCAGTTTTTGAGTCTTCCTCTTCCAATTGAATTTTGATTTTTATCATAATGTTGAGTTAGACTGTAGGTGAGGCATCTGAATGAAAATATCTAATCCACAGGTATTTTTGTCTACATCCAATTTAGGTTTCTCATACTGGGTTCCCTCTAGAGCTTGCCAGATTTCTGTACAAGTTTAATTGAATCATTCACCTCTATGAGTTTATCTATTTTTTTTTAAAAAAAATCTCAGGAAACATTACCAACTATGTTTTTGCTTATAAGGCTATAAAAATAAGAAAAGGTCAAATGCTAATTTGACATTTTCAGATCAAGTTCAATCCTTCACTTTCATTTAAAGAAAAAATTTGATTAACATTCACTAAGATAAACTAAGTGTGAATTTAGAATACATTAAAAAAAGTAATTTGTCCTTAATATCAGACAACTGCAACACATCTTGCTTTCTTAAATTGTTCACTTTAAAGTGTTGGAACATTTTTTTTTTTACTCTTGGCTGCATCTTGGGACATATGTAACAAATAGCAATAGCACTTCAACTTATGAACAGTGCTTTATAACATTCTCTGAGCGGTTTACAAATGTCAGCATCTTGCCCCCAACAATCTCATTAAATTAGAAAACAACTCAAGTACCCCAAGCATCTGACTCATACTGAATCATCAAAGTAGTCTTAAGTTGAAGGTATTGTCACTGCTGTGAATCCAATATGAAGTCAAGAAAAATCATTGACATCTAACGGGGAATTCCACACAGGAAGTGGCTACTAGATTGAAACCCCACCTCCCCCCCCCACATTCCATGCTTTCTCTGTCCATTTTTTAATGTCACATTATTGTATTATCATTATCTCATTATTTTATTGTTTCATTATTTTGCTATTGTTGTTTACACTCCATTTTTCTGTTTTTACTGTTTTAAGCCGCTTACAGTAGCTCCACGTGAGATGTGCTGCAAATACATTTTAAAATAAATAAAAAATAAAAATTACATATTGAGGGAAGTCAGCTCCCCAGAGAAGGAAATATTAAAAGGGCAGAAAAATATATTTCCTCATAAGGATTTTAAAAGCAGAAACCAACCCTGCCCCCAATCTCTCTGTCCCAAGCAGAAGCCAGCTCTGTACAAATGCAGATGTAAACCATCAGAAAGGCCCCAGCTAGGAGATCAAGAAGACAAAGACACCTAAAATCTGCATACCCCACCTAAACTCTAGAAGTCATTACTCCCATCACCAGGGAAGTAGGATATAACCCTTGGGACATAATAGGATTAACCCACCACCAAGAATACCAGAAGGGCACATCCAGACTCAGGTCAGAATACGTGACACAGGAAATACAAAGCCTGAAACAGGAACAGGAAACCACTTCAAACAAAAAGCTAGAGAGGGTATAAAAACGTACTTCCCACATGTGCTCAGCCTTTTTTTTCTCTCCTCTTTCCTGCCAGAGCCATCTTGTTACTTGGCTCTTCAATAAACTGCAACCTTCTTTCTAAAGCAGTCGCCATGTTGTTTATTTATCTCCGGCTTGGATGAACCAGAATGAAGGCTTTTCCTTCAATAATATTAATGGATTTAAAAAACTAGTCTAACTTCTCCTCATGATTACTTCCAATTAAGTATTTTATTCCTACTTTTTTATATTTTATTAATTTTCTAGTTTTATAATCAAATACTTAATAGACGTGTTGTCTGGGTCCATTAGTAATTCAGTGGTATATATTAACTTCTTCAGTCTAGATCCAATATTATATGGTTAAATGTTTCCTCTCTTCTTCTGGTAGTACCTGTTTTCCCACACTAGGCAAATACCATTCTTATTAATATACAATTGAATATCAACATCTTTGTTACATTTTTCTCATATCAATAATGTCAGTTTTAGATAAGTTTTCTAACCAAAACATATCTTAATTGCATTTGCACTTAATATCCATATGTCAATCAGTATTCTGTTTTCGCTTTTTTAATTTTAATTTCTCATGAATGTTCAAAATGTCTCTATTGTTCATAATTTCAAAGTAAGTTATATTTGGGTAACCAAAACCTTCCCTTATTCAAACTTCTTAGCATTTTCCTGTTTTCCTTCTCATACCAAAATCTAATATTCTAATTATAAATTTTATCTTTCTAGTTATAGTACTTCTATTTCTAGCAATTATCTATTCTCCATATTCAAACATCTAGTTAATAATATAATATCCCATCTAATGGATCAAAACCTCTATTTTCTTCGGTCTTACTCTAACTTTCTTCCTTTGCCAACTAACTTTCCAAGTCAACACATTTGAATCATCAAGTAATTTTTCCTGTTGTTGTATACATTGTTTGGAATAAGAAAGACCATTTGGTTGAAGTAGTTTTGGAAGAACGAACCCATTGATATTCATTAAACAGCCTCCCTTCTTCTCCAATTCCACACAATTCTCCTAACCGCTCTATCTTCCATTCAATCATTTCTTCTTCCTTTTCCTCAAATATGTCCTGAATTCTTGATTAGTAAGATGTCTTTTCCATTTCCAATATTATCACTCTGTCTTCTAGTTCTTCAGTTGTCTGAATCTATTGGTTAGTTCCTTCTTTTAGGTCCTCAATCTTTGGATCTGCTTCCTCTAGTTTTCCTTCTATTTTCTAGGTTGCTAGTTCCTTCCTTGTGGTCATGTTCTGGGTTTGTAAATTTAGATTAGAAAATTGTCTTTTTATCTCCTTTGTGTTATTTCTAATCTCATCATGAGCTAAAGCAATAGTCTCTTGTATTGATTTTAACATGGAGAGAATTTCTTTCTGCTCTTCATCCATATTTTCTTGGTAGTATGTCAAACCTAAGACTTTGGGGACATTTGTTAGAGATGGTTTTTTACCATTTAAAGTTGAGTATGGGACATCCATTTCATTTTTTGTAGGTGGTCTTTATAATAAAAATTGTTCATCAATCAAAGATTTGTAATCCAAAATATTCCATCATCTCAAGCAATGAAGTGTATTTCTCCTGCAGGGCCTACTTTTAAAGTAAAAATATTCCAAAGCTTTAAGTACTTATCTCCTTCAAAATCAAAATCCAATTTGTGCCCCAATAGAACCCAAAGACAACTCTTAGTATACTGTCGTGGAAAGAGAGCACCTTTCCTACTATACATTGATCCAAGAACTTTCCAAGATTTTAAGAGAGATAAAGACTGTAAAATCAGTTGTTGAGTATCTGTGAATACTGCATGATCAAAGAACATGGCTGTATATGTGAAGATTAGAAATATAATATTTTATCTCTTGACAGAAAATCAAGCTCTTTTAATTGAGTAACTATTATTTCAATGAAATTAAGCAGAAGATTGTGTTGTAAAAGAAATACTGATATATTATTTCCTTCTGTTGGGATTTACATCCTACCATTTTTAAAAAGACACACACACACAAACCAGTTATTGTTTTAGCTTTGTTGGTCTCAAAACAAAAAACATTTATTTTATAAACATAAATTTATTTTCCTTTCTTTTAAATACCGGTTAATTTTTTTCTTCACTCTTGCACATATAAACATGCAGATGAGAAAAGAACTCCTACAGTTACTGCTGAAAAATATAATTTAATTATTGTAATAACCACAGTATGAAACATATTTTTAAGATCTAATATTAAAAAGCACATATTTACTAAAATTGTATTGAAGAATTGAGAGGAAAAGAACTAACTTTAGCATAGACATGGGACCGAATCCAACTGAAATTAATCCTGACCAAAACCCTGCATAACTAATTAACGAAACATCTCAAAATATCGTTTTCAATGGGATATTATGAGAAGCTTTAATTACACTTCTAAAGCCATTATTTCTAAGCCACAAAATGCTAAACATTATGTAGTTAAAGTTTAACCCTTTTGTCAAATAGGAATGTGCAGCATCAAAACATAAAAATGTAAAACTTCTAATGACAGAACTAGAAGTTATAAATAAGCAATGTGTAACATTTAAATAAAATAGTTTTTCCACAATGGCAGCCAATCTTTCAAAGAGCCAGAGGCTGGATGTGCAGGTATGATCCAGAACTTTCTGGGAGGATTATGGGAATAGGAGGCAAAACACCACATTGACTGACAGCTTTGAGGCATTGGATTGGCTGTTCCAAGAGGGGTTCTACTGTAGATATCAGACAGTGGTACCTTCACCTCTAATTATTGTAGCAAAGACCTCCACAACCTAAGCATGGAATAACAAGTTCCATCCTTGTTATTTTTTGACATTTGAGCAATGTAGAGCTGCTCTTGAAAACCATTTACACTATATCTGTAGAGTTAGGGTTAGCAAAGGTGAAATTCAGAACTGAGAAATAAATATCCGTCAAAAATAATTATGGTTTGCTAGTCATCATTATCCTGTAAAACAGTAAAGTAGTCCAAGTGCTGGAATTTAAGGACTTCATTGCCCCAACTGGTCCATCCAGGTTGCAAATTCCGAGCAAACAACTCCAAGCATTCTACATCTGGTTTAGTATATTCTTTCAAAATCTCTGGAAAGTAAAAAAAAAAAAAAAAAAAAACACAGGGTGAGGATGATAAGATGTTGGAAGTTTGAGAATAAAGACAGGGTAAATAGCTTTAAGGAATTTCTTGTTAGCCAAAGTTATTGTATGTTGTCAGATAGGAATATTTATTTATTTAGAAAATTTATGTGACACAAATATGAAATATCCATCCTTGAAAATGAATAGTACTACCAAAATTTCCAGTTACTCTCATTTACAGACTGTCATAAGACTCTAAAGGTTTACTTAGGATGGTTGCCAATACAACTCTTGACTGACAGAGGTAAATATATTTACCATTTCTTCCCTCAAATTTTGAATTTAAGATTGAAAAACAGAATTACGTAGGAAACAATTCATGTCAAGTATAACTTGGTTACATTGATTGTAAACTTTAAGTCAGAAGTCCCAAACCTTTTGGGCACCAGAGACTGGTTCCATAGAGAGTGGTTTTTCTGCGGATTGGAGGGTGCATGATTTTGTGTGCTGCCTGCATCTCACGGATGGGACTTTGTTTTTTTGTGCGGCCCGGTTGCTAGCATGCCATGGACCGGTACTGGTCCATGGACCGGGAGTTGGGGACCCTTGCTTTAAGTAACTGCATTTTACTTTTAAGAGATAACTACTCCATTTCAGTATGATTTACTTCCACTATAGCTTTCACTGGCTTCATATGGCATTTTGAAGAAACACGCAAATCTAACCTTAAGCCACTTAAACTGTTGTGATTTCCTATTGATGATCCCTTAAGAGTGTAATTTATTGAATAGGCAGATTGTTAATTCCTTACAATACTTCTTTTTTAAAGTTGAAGATACAAGACAAATCAGTCATGCTCTGCTGTGCTTCAGTACCAATTAATCCTTTAAACAGCAGTTTGAATATATAAAATCATATACTGTTCTAAGTATCTTAATGATGTTCTCATAACCAGATGGCAATTATGTTTAAACTTAAAAGTATTTGGGCACCAGTTTCACAAACTGTGACCTAAAATATTTCAATAATTTTCACAGATCACAGCTACAATGGCTAGCATGTAATCTGGGCTACCAGTTCCAGGCTTTGGAAATCTGTACAGCCTTTAGGAAGCTACAAAAGGTTAGGAATATCATTATATCATTTTGCTGCCACCTTAGGTCACCTTGATTTTTGCAGCATGTCTGGTTCTTCCAATTTAATGGGATAAAGTCTTTGTTGCTAACGCTCAATAAAATTATTTTTACTTGGTGCATAATTTTTTATCACTGGATCTATATATCACATTTCTCCAAACTGGTATTAGACTACACCTTCCATAATCATCAGCCACAATGGCCAATGACTAGAAAACAGTTAAGTGCTGGACACATTTGGGAAGGCTGTCCAACAGGTTAAATAAATGGTAACCTGTTGAGTTGCAGTATATAGTGCAAGTCAGGAAAAAGATGGCAGTGTCCCCTTAAGAAGGGCTATCATAGATGAGCTGCAAAAATACAGACCACTAAATGGTAGTGAAGAGGCTGCAAAACTTGCTTTTTGCTACCGTATACTGTAGTCATCAATACTTTTGCATCCTACATCTGGTAGTCAAGGTCTGCTGTATTAAATGTGACCATAAAGTAGGGATATCATATGCACTTTTCTCTCTATGGACTTGAATTCTTCTATTTGCGTTGCTGCTTTGCGGTGACTTAAGAGGAAACTGCATGCTTTATTTTAATTGCCTTGTAGACACTTTTAATTGCCTTGTAGACTATTTTTCCCTTCCTTTCAATCTAATTATCCTAAAACTGCTAGTAAAGTGAAATTCTCTTTTGAATGCCTTTGCCTATTTTCTGTATTATTTTTCCCAGAAACTTCAGCCAGAAAAGACATAATAATCACACCGTGTTGTTAATACCACTTTACCTACCTAAAAAAATCTAGGAAAAACAGGAAATGGGAACAAATCTCATGTTCAATTCTGTGTTTGAATGTGCACTTTTTGCTGAAATATTTTCCATAAAAGGGTTAATTGGTGTTAATTTTATTGTCACTGTATCTTTGTATTTCTTGTCACAAAGTATTTCTACTTTGATTCTTCTATACCTTGCCTCCAGCAATCTCTGGTTTTATATTACAAATAGCATTTAAGTCTTCTTTATATGGTTGCTGTTCTGACACAAACTGCGAAATGATTAATGCTTAATTTTTTCTCATTGAAAATGCCACTATTGCTATTTTATCCTGTGCTAAACATGTTTTAACCAGGAAAATTTGATTATTTAATGAAATGTAACATTTGTATCATATTATTTCACTACTGAAATAGGCTTCTTATTCTCTGAACACAGAATGGCCTATGAACTGGGATGATAGTCCTTCTGGTCCATGGGCCATAATACTAATCTCAGATTTGTTGTCCTCATTGAAGTAACCGCAATTTTAGGTCTTGAGCTACTCAAATGCACCTACAACCTATTGTTTTGATTTCTCTCTCTCTCTCTCTCTCACACACACACACAGACACACACACACACACACAGACACACACACCTAAAAGGGACATTATTTTCAGACTTGGCATCGCATATCACTGAAAATCAAGAGAGTAATTATGACAAGCAGTTTGGTGTAATGGTTAGGGTGCTGGACTAAACACCAGATCATGAATTCTAGTTGCCCTTTAGGAATGAAAACCAGCAGAGTGACTGTGAGGCCTCTCATTTTCTGAGAAGAGTTAGTGTGGAAAAATTATGAGGCAGGATTATTATGTATACTGCTTTGAATTATACAAAATAAAGAGAAGATGTAAATCTAAACATTAATATCATTTTACATATCCATTGATGGTCTTGTAATTGTGGCAGACATATATATATAATAGCATAGAGGGAATAAATTGGTAGCATGAAATACAATAATAGTATAACATACATAAGGTTTCCCATGGCTTTTGTTGCTATTTTAAACTCATAGGGAAACAAATTTAAGAACCAATATTTAAAATAACTTAGCAGTAACTTTCATGTTTATTTTTTTGCTAAGCTCCTTTGAGAATCCATTTATACATGAGTAATTCATATAAAGTTTGCTTGCAAAATTGTTTAAAGGACGCTTTGATCATATCAATTTTTTGGCAGTGATCCTGCTGGAAGTTACTTTTGTACATGCATAAAAATATGCAAATAATCCAGGAAAACCTCAAAATAACTGCTTCAAACTTTCAGGATGATGAATGATTCACACAGCTGTACTATGTAACATGTATTGATACTAAAAAAAGCCAATTCGTGCCAGTAAGGATTCTGAGGTCTTATAATTTTTCATGGATACTCTTTTCTCTCATTTTCTATTAAAATAAATTATTGAGAAATATAAAATTACCTTGCTTTTGTATTGCATTACATTTTTTTTCAATCCTCATTTTTAGGTGGAAAACTTGCTAATGTAGATACTTTACTCTTTACATAACAAAACCTTTATATATGAAGGAATACACAAAGATGCGGGTAAAATAAGTATCATCTTTTCTAACCACGGCAATAAAACAGGACTTATATTGATCTAATCTTTCTTGACCTTTACAAGTTTATGTTGCTCAATGAAAGGTGCTTTATATCAGTTTTCAAGATCTGAATTAAAGTAGATAGCCTTTGATTCGGTCTATGATCATCACATTGAATCCCAAACTGAATTTTGTAATTGCGAATGGATGGGAGAATTGAGGGCTTATAAGCTGAAATGAGATGCAGAAAATGCAGAAAAAATCTGGGCCTCAAATTCATGCAACTGATGACACAGAGTCTGCACCATAAGGCATTTGATATAATTAATTCATTATTTTGAAAGTATCATAAAAACAAACTGTTTCAAAATATTTGAAATAATAATTAAGGACAAGAAATTTCATAGATTTTTTTCTCTCTTAACTTATGAATAAAAATAAACAATCAAAATACTTGCTATTAGGAATAGGCTGCTATGCTGTGCTATAATTTCTTTCTCCAGGAACAATTACAAAAACAAATGTAAACTTCTGTAATCTATGTTAAATTTTATTTGCCATATTTAATGAAGTGAGTATTAAATAAAGAAGTGTTATAAGAAACTTCCAGTATCACAATTTCATAGTTAAATTCAAATAATGAAACAAAATATAATTTTGATTATTTATAGAAAGTCCTCTTTTTGTCTGAACAAAAGATAGCAAGGAGGTCTTTATTAAAATAAAGCACTGTGGTACAGTAAAAACATTGTAAATTGCACTGGTTTCTTTTTAAAACAAAACAGTGTTTGCAGATAATTGATATGTTTTCTTTCATTCCAACTTTTTATGTTCATGCTATAAACTTTGGTAAAACTTCCCTCTACTGGCACTTCTAGTTAATTGTTTTTTACCACTGTAAAACATTTTATCTTTTCCTGACAAGACGTGAAAATCCTCTCATACATCGAAGCCCTTAAATCTGCAGTTCAGTCATCTGCAGTTTTATGCTGTTCGGTATAATCATTCACTATTTTTATTAATTTAGAAATTAGCCACATATTTGTGCAAAATGACATAGGAACTATGCAAACAAAATATTGTTTTATTTGAAGAAGCAATTAGCTGGCAAAGAACACACTCACAAACTTTTCTGTACAGTTGTATTAAATGCATACATACACATACACACAGAAATAAACTACAGGTAGCTCTTACTTAGTAATCATTTGTTCAGCATCCATTTGAAATTATAGCAGTTCTGAACAAAGGACTTTATGACCAGTTCCTGAAATTATAGCCATTGCAGTTCCCCCATGGTCACATGATCAAAATTGGCATCTTCGTATTTACAACTGCAAGGAATGCTTCAACTTCCTCATCTACCTTTTTCCTACTCTTCTATGCCCTTTTGGCTTTCTGCACTCCATGGCCTCTGCACCCTAGCAGACCTTTTCCATCCTTCTGCTTTCACTGCTTACCAAGCATGCCCAGACCAGCCCTTCATGATGCAACAGCTGGCAGACAAGGCTTTTTTTTCCAGTTCATGCATGGTGGTTTCCTCACGAGACCTGGGGAAGATGGCCTCATAGAGACAGCATAGCCTTGCAAAGGGCCAGGGCAGACACGCATTGTTAGCAGAAGGAACAAGAAAATACTGAAGGTCAGCTGGAGCGGTAAAGCACAGGAGCTTCAGAGTACATAGTGGCAAGGCAACTGCAGTTAGGACTGGGTGAGCTGGCTGGGGCATTGTGCACATGCTGAGCCAGGCTGGGACGTCCCAAATAACTGTGGCTTCACATCATTCTGCACTGGTGGGTGAGGCTGCAGCAGCTGAAGGGGGCACACCAAGAAGCCCGAGATCTAGTGTGAAAAGTAGCCCAGAGCCATTTAGTTCTAGAGCTGCTTGCCACCCCACAAAGTAGGGTGCAGGACAGCCAAAAGAGCACAGTTGGGATGGAATAGACATTTGGGCGAGTTAAAAGGGAGGTAATCCCATATCTTGAAAGTATCGGGGTTCAGGTGAGAGGACTGCACCCTGAATTGCTTGAATTGGGGTGGGTTTTGGTTATTGACTACTGGAATTTGGTTAACACAACAGTGGGAAGTGTGGGATTGTTGTCATTAAGCAAAGTGGTCAAGTGACATTGTGCTTTATGACCACATTACTTAGTGGTAGAAATTTTAGTCCCAACTGCTAATGTGCCTACCATTTCTTACATTATGAAAATACAATTATTTATATAAGAGCATTTTTGTTTATTATCTGTAGATAGCAATAGCAATAGTACTTAGACTTATAGACCGCTTAGACTTATAGACCGCTTCACAGTGCTTTACAGCCCCATGACTTCCATGTCATATTAATGATGGTCCAAAATCACCAATACAAATAGGTAAGAATACTAAGCAATTAACTAGCCAGACAAATTGAAAATATAAATATCTATTTCTGGAACTTACCTGAAAGAGGAGGCTTATGTGAATGAAGAGTACAAGGTACACTAACAATTAATTTCTGATCAGGAATTGCAGAAAACTTTTCATCTTCTGAAAGCCTGTTTATATATATTTATAACAAGAAAATATAAAAAGAAAACCTTAAATGATTTATACAAATAACAGTATCTGGGAAAGATTTTTACGTTCATTGGTGCTTCTCTTCCTAAACAAAATAATAAGAATGATAAAAAAAAGAAACTATTCTCATACTGGAAGCCATAATGAAGCTAATACCTAATTGTTGAGAGTATTTCTTTTTCTGAAAGCTAAAGGGCAGCTTATGAATTTTTTTAAGTTTCTGTAAAACAAAAGTAAAACTACAGGAAGAAGACAGAATACAACTAATATATATTTCAAATATAAATATTGCCTGGCTTTATAAAACCAGATCAATGTGTAATTCCAGGCCACACATGATCCATTTGGCAGCAACAACCAAGTGTGTGTGTGTGTGTGTGTGTGTGTGTGTGTGTGTGTGTGTAGTTACTTGTTCTGGGGCTTGCCAGGAACTTGGGAGCATTTGGGGAACATTTGGAGCAATAAAGGGGCAGTTTGAACTCCCAGCTGACTGTGTTGCCTCTGTGCTGTGCCCTAGGTCATCACATGCATCTATTAGCTCTATAATTATATCCTCCCCCCCACCAAATTTAATAATAATTGGATATTCACTGAAGGCACTTTAAAGCATTTCTTGAAAAAAATAGTTTTGTACCATCATGGGAAAGAGACAACTAATCAGAGATCTTGTATTAAGAAACGGCACTCATTACTTTAAACTTGTTTGCAAAACTCAACTAAGCATTTCTAACTAAATGCTACTCAATAATACTGCACATAAATAATATAACAAAATCAATGTCTCTACCTTAATGGTACATCTGTATTTCCCTGGACTCTACCCAGTACAAGAATTTCATATGGCTTTTTGTGAAGAGAATCTAATGGAATCACAAATTCCCCAGACTTTGTAATCTGAAACAGAGAAATTTGAACAAACGTAGCAAGTGGAAACAACTGGCACAAGCTATTTTTTGTGTGTTTTACACAAATTTGTTTTTAATACAGAAAACATACATTTCTCCAGATCAGGAGTCAAGAGCTGCCCAAATCTGGTCAAACAAAATCAATTCTAGTGTTTTATGTATCCCTCACTGAGGCTAAATGCTACAAATTATCCATTTAACACTGAGTTATAAATTAAGATTAAACTTGAGCTAACTGTGTCAGCATTACTTATGAACAAAATAAGTGTTAAAGTTGAGGAATATTGAGGTTCAAGTATATAAGGGAAGCTATTGAATAGGGGATTGCTGTATATGTAAAAGCAAAATTGGAACACTGAACACTGCTACAATCATTGATCGGGGCAATTTATGCTTAAGGGCTGCAATCTGATCACCACAGGAAAATGGCATCATTCCCCTTCCTTTCCATTTATAACTTTTCTAAGAAAATCAACAATATGGTGATAACAGCTCCTCCAATTTAAAAATCCTATTCCTTAATGTTAGATCAATTGCTGGAAAAGCATCTATTGACAACATGTGAATCATAGACCCTTGGCTGACAGAAATTGAAGCAATTTATCTTTCCCAGCTTTGTTCACCAGGCGACTCTATAGTGTACACCAGAATAAGATTGGAAAGCAGGCAGGAGAAAGTACATGGGCTGCAGAAATTTCAACTAACTTATCCCAATACTTCATCCCCTATCTGCTAATTCTGAGCATAACCTTTTGTATTTGAGTGGCTGGAAAAGGAGAGAGAATAGTCTTTTATGAAACAGCTTAGATTTATTTTGCACCTTGGAAACAATGTGATTCAGTTCATCAAAGCAAAAATGTAATTAGTCTCCACCAAGAATTTAAGTGGCCTCAAATTGTATACAGCCTACAGAACTACTGCAGGATAGTCTCCTCTGAGCTTTCCAAGCTAGGTATTTTCATGACTGCTCATGACCGGTACACAGCACATTTTCAGTGTTCAGGTGCTCATCAATGCCATGTGTTTTGCACTATTACTAAAGCATTCATGAAGCCATTCAGCCTGGAAGATCTTTTGTCATAACCAGAAGGTAGTGCTAGATTATTGATCTATGAAATAATAGAAAATACCTGTAGCTCGGGTTTTCGATTTTGGCTGTGGTTTGTTCTCCAAGCTTGTTTCAATATAATTTCTGAACGTTTCGTTACCAAACTAGGTAACATCATCAGCAAGATTTTCTTGTCCTATTCTCCTTAGCTTATAAATGTCTTGTTGATCTATGGTGTTCCATAGGGTTCAATCCTTTCCTTATGCTATATGGTATCTACAAAAAACTGCTGCAAAAGGTCTTTTGGAATTTTAAAGGAGTATCATCAGCTCCTTACTATACTATACCGTGGGAAAAAGGTATTGTTTTTACAGAAACTGTAGAGCTAGTCTTTGGAAGAATGCATTGCATATTTTTCTAATCTTATGAATTTTGCTTGAGTATGGAAACTATACAGGTGAAACTCGAAAAATTAGAATATCGTGCAAAAGTTCATTTATTTCAGTAATGCAACTTAAAAGGTGAACCTAATATATGAGATAGACTCATTACATGCAAAGCAAGATAGTTCACGCCGTGATGTGTCATAAGTGAGATGATTATGACTTACAGCTCATGAAAGCCCCAAATCCACAATCTCAGAAAATTATAATATTGTGAAAAGGTCCAATATTCTAGGCTCAAAGTGTCCCACTCTAATCAGCTAACACCTGCAAAGGGTTCCTGAGCCTTTAAATGGTCTCTCAGTCTGGTTCAGTAGGAATCACAATCATGGGAAAGACTGCTGACCTGACAGTTGTGCAGAAAACCATAACTGACACCCTCCATAAGGAGGGAAAGCCTCAAAAGGTAATTGCAAAAGAAGTTGGATGTTCCCAAAGTGCTGTATCAAAGCACATTAATAGAAAGTTATGTGGAAGGGAAAAGTGTGGAAGAAAAAGGTGCACGAGCAGCAGGGATGACCGCAGCCTGGAGAGGATTGTCAGGAAAAGGCCATTCCAAAGTGTTGGGGACTTTCACAAGGAGTGGACTGAGGCTGGAGTCAGTGCATCAAGAGCCACCAAACACAGACGGATCCTGGACATCAGCTTCAAATGTCATATTCCTCTTGTCAAGCCACTCCTGAACAACAAGCAACATCAGAAGCGTCTTACCTGGGCTAAAGAAAAACAGAACTGGTCTGTTGCTCAGTGGTCCAAAGTCCTGTTTTCTGATGAGAGCAACTTTTACATCTCATTTGGGAACCAAGGACCCAGAGTCTGGAGGAAGAATGGAGAGGCACACACTGCCAAAAGCACCAAAACCTGGTTCAATGACCGTGGGATTACTGTGCTTGATTGGCCAGCAAACTCGCCTGACCTAAACCCCATAGAGAATCTATGGGGCATTGCCAAGAGAAAGATGAGAGACATGAGACCGAACAATGCAGAAGAGCTGAAGGCCGCTATTGAAGCATCCTGGTCTTCCATTAACACCTCAGCAGTGCCACAGGCTGATAGCTTCCATGCCATGCCACATTGAGGCAGTAATTGCTGCAAAAGGGGCCCAAACTAAGTACTGAGTACATGTGCATGCTTATACTTTTCAGAGGTCTGATATTGTTCTATGTACAATCCTTGTTTTATTGATTGCATGTAATATTCTAATTTTCTGAGATTGTGGATTTGGGGTTTTCATGAGCTGTAAGCCATAATCATCTCACTTATGACACATCACGGCTTGAACTATCTTGCTTTGCATGTAATGAGTCTATCTCATATATTAGGTTCACCTTTTAAGTTGCATTACTGAAATAAATATACTTTTGCATGATATTTTAATTTTTCAAGTTTCATCAGTATGTAGGACCAGAGGCCCGTTACACTCAAAGCCAGCTTTAACAAGAATCTGCTGATATGATAGTTACTTCAAAGACAACCCCTAGGAACTAATAGCCATAAAAGGTAATTTGTAAATAAGGGCAGGGGATGATAGATTGGGAAGAATGGGAGATGTAATCAAGGCGGGGAATACTGTACTCACTTTAGGCACTTCGGATAAGTTGTGACGGCCTGAGTACTCAGCCAAAGAGGAAAAGGTGGGAGGTAAATTGCGATGGCAATAGGGAATATGAAGAAATTAAACTGATGATTTAAGATGTGTCCACTGTACCCGAGAGTATGTGATACACCCTCTTTGCAAAGTAGTAAAAATAAAAATATCGTTGTTTTCTCTGGAAGATTTGGCTGGTGATTGTTTATTCCAAGCTAGACAACGAATCCCACATACACCAAGGAAGCAATTGATATACTTGAACATTATTTAAAATGTTCAAGTATATTTAATAATGGGCCAGATGAGAAGTAACAAGCTGAAATTACTTCAGACAAGATAACAGTGCTGTTAGCAAAGAGGAAAATAGATTTGGAAATTGAAATTCAGCTTGTTTTGGGTAGAGGTGCATTCCCTCCGAAAGCTGAAGAACGCCTTGATCCTAAGCTATAAGTTTCACCTTTGTGTACTTGCATCTAGCCCGCCATCTGCAGGACTTTCTGAGCCTGACAATGGTTATCGACTGTGCTCTGTAGGAAGCTACCCTTGGAAAATGTCCAGACGTTGTAGCTGGTGTAAAATGTGGCAGCTAAGCTGCCAACCAAAGCAAAGTACAGGGAATGTATGAATCTATACATTCTGCATTGCTTGCTAATGGCATATCAGTTGATGCTTATCTACAGGGGTTGACTATCTATATAATATCATCTTCCATTTAGACCTTGTTCACCTTTTTACACTGGTAGAACAGGCCTTTTTTAAGAGGCAACCACTATCAGAAACTCATCATTCTGATACATGAGAATGGACATCTTTGCTCTCCAGCTATAGACTACACTCCCTTAGAAGGTGCCTTTGTTTTGTGAGTTTATTATTAATGTTTGTTTACTTTTGATATAGTTGTTCTTAAGTGATCACCAGAGCAGAAAGATGGATTAAGGAATTACAAACAAACAAACCTACTCTAAAATTTCTAGTAGAAAAACTAAAAACAGTTTAAGCTTTGCCCTGGCATTGATTGCACATATCTAGGCTGACAATGTTCTCATTTATTCTTTAATTTTTAATTTTAACTGTAATAAAAATAGAAATATGGTATGTAAGTCTGATGTTCAGAACTGAGGTGTGTGAGTTTTTGATTATCCCAACCTGTCACTTATAAATTTAAAAAAATAAATAAATAAAAAATAAGGTAAAATGCATTTAAAATGTACCACTAAAATTAGTACTGGAATTACCATAAGGAAATAAGAGCCGAGGTGGCGCAGCAGTTAGAGTGCAGTACTGCAGGCCACTTTAGCTGACTGTGTTCAGCAGGTCAGCGGTTCAAATCTCACCGGCTCAAGGTTGACTCAGCCTTCCATCCTTCCGGGGTAGGTAAAATGAGGACCCAGATTGTTGGGGGCAATGTAAATATATATATACATTGCTTACTGGTGTACACCGCTTAGAGAGTGCTTGCACTTAAAACGGTATATAAGTTTCATAAATAAATAAATAAATAAATATTAAATAGGAAAAAAATCCAGCAAACTTACTTTTACCCAAAACCATTCAACAACACCATATATAGACCAGTGAGGATAAAGTTCATTCTTTACAAATTGTAAATGCTTCTGTCTGTTGGTCACCCATGTGACCACAAGACAATTTGGAGCTGCCAATGCTGGAACAGGAATTTCTTTGATTTGCCAGTGAGACAAGAAACCATACCTAAATGTGGATACATTGAGAAAATTTAGAGCTCATCCAAATCAAGAAAAGATGTTTGAAATTGTGACACTTTTACAAACTTTGTCTAATTTAATATCTAACTAGATTAAATTTGATTCAAGAGTGACATCCAGTGGTGAAAAGCTTCCCTTTTACATTTGGATCCACTGAATGCAGCAATCTAATTACAATCCATTTTCGCCTCAAAAAACAGATACATATTGGAGAAGAAGAAAAAACTTCTGAAGCAAAATGAGCTTTTAATGAAATATTTTGCTGCATTTCTGAATGTTAGATTAAATGTTGGAGGTGCAATAACTGTAATTTATTCCATTTATGTGGTGTTTTGAAAGCAACATCTTGTTTAAGTATGAAATTCACTACTAAAGAGTGGCTATGGGTCACCAGATTGCAGAATTTTAAAGGGGGATTATGAAAATGCTGATAAAATAAAACTATTAATGGTTGACAATCCTGATGATTATGTACTTCCTGCCAAATGAGACTGTAGACTTCTGAATGAGAGCTACTGTGGATAAGCAACAAGAGACTTATATTCATATTCTGCTTGCAAGCTTCTCAAAAGCATAAAATTAACTATCATGGATATAGAATGCTAAGCTATACAGCAATCTAATTAATTTTACAATTTAATAGAATAGTGTCATTTAATAAATACTAATCATTACATCCTCTTACATTTAATAATCTCAATCATAAAAAGCTTGCTTTTTGTTGTTGTAATCAATTTTTTATATCAAGCATATACCAGAAATTTTATTCAGATACCCTTTTGCAAATTACTTACTTTTGTTGTAGCACTAAAGCCTTAATATGCCAGATGGCATGGTATTAAAAGTTATATACTTAATTTATATAAAAATATACATTTATAGGAATCATACCGATTGCTTCTTTTAACAGACTTGTTCTCCCATGGTGGGTCTATAACAATTATGCCATACTTCTTTTTATCTGAAAAAAAGAAATATTCTTTGAAATTATAAAAGTATTTCCCATATTTTAAGCCCCTAATACTTACATATTTCAAAGGAAGTGAAAGTATGATCTTTTCCTACATAAAAATATATAAAGTCTGCCCTTATAAGTTTATGTCAACCATATTGCTCTTATATGTAAAAGCTGTATTTAACTAATGACTCAGTTTCATATCGCAAACAATTATAACAACTTCACATGTACCATAAAATCTATACCATAAAATTGTTCAAATGGATAATCAGGTCTTTCAATTCGTCCTTTACTAAAATATACACAGAATTGCTATGGCAAAATATTTAGGGATTGCTAAATAGGTGAGTAATTTTACTAAGATATGTACTCACAATTCAAAAGTGGCTGCATACATGAAAAATCTGATAAAAGAAATGAACTTCTGGGGGGAAATAAGTAGTTCTGTCCCATTAATGTTAACATCTTTGCATTGTTTGTATTATTTTCAGTAACACAGATTAATTGAACTTGTTCTGGGTCAGAGGTTTCCTTGTCTATTACACATTTTTGTTCTTTTTCTTTCATAGGAACGAAACACTTGGCCATCTCGCATAGCTCAGCCAAACTGCAATTATTGTGTCCTCTGTCAGATGTCTTGACATAAAACTGGTCTGTAGGATTAGGCTGAAGGAAACCATTTCTGCGTGCCTCCTGGATTAACCATCTACTCCCATCCAGAATTATGCCACTGATCTGTGTACAGCAATAAAAGATAAAGGAAAATTGCTTGAAACATTTAGATTTGTCAACTGTAATTTACTAAGAAGTTCATATGAATTAATGACTGCACAAGGTAAACATTAAACAGTTATAAAATGATTTTAGATTTGTTCATCTTAAAATTATTTCTTGGTGTTTGAATGGAGAATTCTTCACATGGACATATTTGCAAACAAAATCATTACAATAGAGATAGGACTATTATAAATTTGTAGCAATCTTTTACTAACATTGAGGCCTACAGATTCATCACTACTTTCAAATTTGCAATTTGAAAATGAAACTAAACTATTTAAAAATATTCACTGTATTTAGGAATACACAAGATCAATTAACAACTACCACCATCAAAAGGCCTAATTTACACATAACAAGAATGTCTTTCTTTGTACAAGAAGCCAAACTACATGCATATATCACACTTAGCCATGGCTTAGCCAGACTGTTGAGTAAATAAGAGATTCACATATTGTTACGTAATAAATGCATGGTTTATAAATAAGATTAGCAAATAAAAACCAAAAATCATGCTAAGTACCTTATGACTTAGGATATTATGTAAGTCTGTTCTTAGTTAATTCATAATCTAAGCTATAAAAACAGCTTTTTTAATAATGCTCAATGACCCCAAACAAAACACATTATGACCCAGCATGTATGTTACTCAGGATATATTCTTTTAGTTGTGTTTAACAATATCATGACTTCATGATTTGACAGAAGCAAATAATTCCCTACTGTTCTAAAGCTGCATTTGCCACTGATGTGAAACAACAACTTCTGATTTTTCTAGCATTTGAAATCAGTTATTACCCACATGACTGATTGTAGTTAAAAGTACAGCATACTCTGGCCCATGCATAATCTCTTAAGTCATTTCTTATAGAATATTCTAGAGTCATTTAACCACTATTAAGCTAAAACACTAGTAAATAGAATATGCTTTATAATACTTCAGCAATGACTGGATGAGGCTATCAAGACATTAAAAGTTAATAATGGGGAAATAGCCTTAGTCACAATAAATAGACTATGTATACACTACAGTTCGTGAAAGAACTTAAGAAAATTTTATTTAAGAAAATTTCATACTAGCTCTTTTTCACTGGGTTTGCTATTATTTTTTTAATCATTCAGTGACTTCTGAGATTTTGCATCCTCATCTATCAGTTCTTTTGTTTGTCATCAGAGTATCTAGCCACATTTTTGTGTTGGCCTCTTTTTCAATTGCCTTCCATTTTTCCAAGCAACAGTGTCTTCTTCAATAACTCACCTTCATATTTTGTGCCCCAAATATTTAAGCGTTAGCTTCATTATTAATGCTCCCAGTGAAGTCTATTTTACTTCATCTAATATTGTTTGTTCTCCCTATAACCAGAGTATTCTCAACACTTTTTTCTAGCAGCACAATTCAAAGGCATCCAGTTTTTTTCTTTAACTTTTCTGATAATCCAACATTCATGTTACAATTTGGGAAACCATGATCCTACTAATACAGAGCACTGTTGGTAGTATGTCTTGCTACTGTAATATTTTATCTAAATATATCATTGCAAACTTTTAATTTACTTCATTTTACAAAGCATTCTGAATATGCCATTTCAAAATAGTTGACTTGCAGTATCTTTCCTACTTTTTACAATACTATTTATAGGTAGTCCTCAACTTATGACCACAATTGAGCCCAAAATTTCTGTTGCTCATTTGTTAAGTGAATTCAGCCCCATTTTACAACTTTCTTGCCACAGCTGTTAAGTGAATCATTGCAGTTGCTAAGTTAGTAACATGGTTAAGTCAATCTATTGATTTTGCTTGTCAGAAGGTCGCAAAAGGTGATCACATGAACATCGGACACTGGAACCATCATAAATATGAACCAGTTGCCCAGCATCTGAATTTTGATCACATGAACATTAAGAGGCTGCAATGGTCGTAAGTGTGCAAAACAGTCATAAGTCTTTTTTTTCAGGGCTGTTGTAACTTCAAATGGTCACTAAATCAACTGTTGTAAGTCAAGGACTATCTGTAGAGTGAATTTTCCCCACTAAAATATGGCTGAAATACCAATCTGTTCACTGTAGGCACCTTTATAGACAGGAGATGAGATGTCTAATATTTATCAATATATACTCATTAATTTTAGAATAGCAAAAAGTGTGTTTTATAGTAGAAATTGCAATTAAAACAACTCCCCCCCCCAAAATGCAATATGATTTTAGAATAGTTTGCACTAAGCAAGGGTGGATTCATACAATGTATTCAGTCATGACTGGAGCCAATTTGGTGTAGTGGTTAAGGAGCTGGTGTAGAAATCAGAAGACTGTGAATTCAAGTCCTGCTCTGGACATAAAAGCTGACTGGGTAACTTTGGGTCAGTCTTAGCCACTCTTAGCCCAATTCACCTCATGGGATTGTTGTTGTGGGGAAAACAGCAGGAAGGAATATTAGTTATATTTACTGCCTTGAATTACTTATAAAGGGGGAATAAAAATCTGATAAATAAATAAACTACATTATACCTAAACATGAAGTGTGAATTTGACTTTTATTTCAACATACAATAAGATGAGCATATGTATGTCATAAAAATAAATGGTACTGTCCCATTATTAGTCTTCAAACTTACCTTTAAATGATAATCTAAGATATCACTTTCACCATGATTAAGTTCACTGCTTCTTTTCCGTTTCTAAAGTTGAAAATGGGTGTTAGCAATACTACCATTCAAATGTTTAGCTACATTAATTACATTCTGTATATAAGGAAAAGATGTATTTTGCAATGAACTAGCATCCCTTAAACTTCACAAAGACAACTAAATGTGTATGTTAGTAAATAGCAGAATCTTATAGATGCATAACTTGCAACCTAATTGGTTGGACTCAATGGTGACAATGCTTCTCAGACTCTCACAATTCACCAACCATAAGTTCTAGTGGGATGTAGATACTTGGGAATTTCCTTTGTGGTATTTTTCACCACTTTTCCAGTTCTTTGGGAAATGTTAATTTCAGGGAAATCCTGGTTTTGATTTGCAGGTATGTGCTCTAATTAAGTCCTTCTTTCACCCACCAAGCTTCTTTCGAAAAAGAAGGCCCTGGAGGGTCTTCTTCCAAAGGTGGAGCACAAGAGAAGTTCAGCTGCCAGGATTGCCATTACTAAGCAATGCAGTCACATGACATCACATTTGCATCAGTTAGCGATGGAAATTTCGGTCCCAATTACCATTGTTAACTAAGAACTACGTGTAACACTAATTACCTACAATACCCTTCTCCAATATGAGATGAGCTCCAGATGACCTCACAAATAATTCTCTTATCCAAAGCCTGTGCTGGCTGGAGATAATGGAAATTGGGATACTGGGGGAAGTGGAGTTATCCAGCTAGTGTTTCATACCCTGATCCCATCCAGAAATGCCAGTGCTACATTTTCATGAAAATTACAGCAGTAATACAGTATATCCAGGGAGCACCAAATATCGGTGACCCAAAATAAATGAACTATAGAAATTGTCTAGATATTTAGGTTTTTGGAAAGAAAAAACTATGGTTTTTTTGTTTTCTGTTTTTCGTTTTTTTTTTTTTTTTGCAGTATCCGTTTCATTCTAAACTACTGACTATAGGAAAAATATAGCATTTTCAGACTACTGATGGGAAAGTGTCCCTCATTTTATTATCTAACGTGTCGTTGTATGTGACACAGAAACTACAACAGCCATGTGGCTTTTTGAAAGAGAAAATGCCAGGTAAGGAAACCAGCATTAAACAATTCCTTCTAAGATTACAACTCAGGGACTGCAAATACATATGATAGCATGAGTGTAAGACACATATTATTACTATATTACTCAGTGAACTACTAGTATGGTCTTCTAAAACAGGACCATTGTTATCTATAAATTCACTAATAAAATTTTACTAGCACATGCTAAAATTAGGTGTACTTGATTTCATTTACTAGAGGTTTATTAAATGCTGAAAGCAGGTAAAATTATACAGTACTTATTACCAATAATCTACAAAGGACACTTTTGGACTGCAAAAGTAACAATCTATACATATTTTTATAATAAACCAGGGATTTCATTTTATGCTATTTACAGATGAAAATGTATGTAAATGTGTAAGAAACATCTTTATACTCTACCTTTTTAACTTTAACTGTAATAACAGATTTGTTGTCGTCATTTTTCTGCTGTTCACATTTACTAGTTTCTAGACTAGTCCCACTATGCTTTTCCGTCTGGAAGCTTGCAGGAATATGGGGCTTAAGTACATTAAAAAAATCTTCTCGAAATAAGTATGTCCTCTTTACCATCTGATTAGATTTTTCTCCTGAGTTTCTAAATTCAGGAATAAATTTTTTTGTACATGATTTTATGTGAATCAGATTTGTATCTGAGGAAGCAGGAATAACAATATTGTCAAAACAATCCTGAGCTGACTGCTCAAGAGAATGGCAAAAATTGTACCCAGATTTATTTATGAAAGAGAGGTGATCTAGCATCCAGCCAGCTGGCAGATAACATACAATTGACATTGTCTGCTTTCTAAGGCATTCTTCTTCCAAATGATTAAAAACTGTATTCCTTGGGGGGTGGGGAGAAACAGAAAAGTAAATCTTTAGAGAAGTGTTGCATTAACCATTAGTTTACCCAAATGTCAGGTATTTTAATTCAATCCTGTGAAACTAGGACTTTCTATGAGCACAGCATTTCTCTTCTGTTCAAGAGACCAATCATTTTCAAGCATCCATGTGAGTCTGAAAAAAAGATGCCATTGCTTTAAGAAATTAGTAGTTCATTAAGACTATTCTTATAGCCAATGGGAAGATATTTTCCTGTATTCTGTATCCAACATTTTGCATAACAAAAAGGAAAAATAGCAATAATGATATTCAGAGAACAGATACTTGAGATAATTTTCAGGGGAAAAATTATTCATATACAAGATCCTATACTGTGTCATACATCATTCATTTTCCTGTAGCTGAATGTTAGGCTAAGATTCAAATTAAAAACATAAATTGCCCATAAGTAAGACAATAGGTCTGAACACATCAAAACATTTGAGCAAACAAAAGTTAGTTTTGTTTAAAAATATGGATAATTAACATTTACATTAGTATAGCTGAGAGAACTTACTGCTTTAGATACCTATCTTGTTACAATTCCGGAAGAGCCATAGCTAAATCTATCAGTCAAGTTACTATCCCTCTTGCACTACACTGGTTTCCTACAACTATTTAGCGAAGTCCTGGGGGGAGATTAAATTTGAGCTGGGTTCTTTCTTGCAGTTATAACTTAGTAAATCTTGCAGAATTCTATGGAGTTTATTTCTGAGTAAACTATAGCATTTTCGATCGCGGTGAGGAGATCGCGAAGTAGCCCTTGAGCCAAGTCTTCTGCTCCGTCTCGGACTCGAATAGCCGCTCTCACAGAGCCCATAAAGGACAAATATCAGTCTGTAAGCATGCCAGCTGGACCTACTCCCCTTACTCCCACAGGGAAGAACGTACTTCGTTCCCAAGGGAGAAACCACCTTCCCGCCTGTAACTCACAGCTACAACAAGCCGCTACGGTGGAACGCCGGAGATAACCATAGAGAAGAAACGCGACTATTCTGCTTGAGCAATTTTATCCTGAAGACAACTTCCTGTTTCTGAAGGAAATGACGTTATTTTCCTGGTTGGTTTTTTTTTTTTTTTTAAGTCAATGGACGCTAACGCAAGCGGATGTTGCGATAGGCGGGTAAATTTGAAAGCAAGTGAGAAACGGGCGGTGACAGAGCAAGAAAGAGCGGTGAGTGGCGATGTAGCAGGGGAAGTTTTCAAGGGAGCAATGCTGCTACCGATGGCTAGGTTACTAGTATCTGACTGAGGTCGGCCGCTGCCCTTTCTTTCCCAGCTTGGTCGGATTGGGAGAAAAGGTGTTAACCGTTGGTAATACAAAGCTCTCCTTGAGGAACCAAGGCGTAGTTGGCAGCTGGTTTAAGCTTCACCAGTCGGTAGCGCTCCTCTGCTTTTTCTTGGAGGAAAATTAAAACCGCCGTCACAACTTTCCTTTCAGAAGAGGAAAATCCCCATTCTTTTCTGACACCAAAGGAAAAATTAATTTTATATTACATATTCTAATTCGTTCTTCTTTGCAAGTGTTTGCGTTCTTTCTTCTTTGCAAGTTTATTCGTTACCGCCGAATAAATAGGAGTAAAGCTAGAAACCCCTTTTTGGGAGGCGTTGTTCTGACGAATGAAGGCAAATATACGTGTCTCAAGATAACGTTGCAGGACCCAATCTGCCAAAGGTTTAATCCTCTTCTTTAGTTACACACATTCTGGTGAGAGAGAAGTTCCCCGAGGATGGGCTCCATCATGAGTCCAAAAGCTCGGGAGACTAAACCTCTAGTCCCAGCAACCGATCCAGATTGGATCCTCCAGGTTTTGTTCTATTCAGGAACGGAAAGAGAGAGAGAGAGAAAATATTCAGCAAATGCACCCTGCTCTTTTTCTTAAAGTGAGCAAGAGGTTTGAGGCCTTTTCAAACCTGTTTCACGTCTCAATTTTCAAAAATCTCCCTTTGGTTGGTGCAAGACTGGGAGTGAGTTTTCTTTGTAGCCAAGGGCTTTTCTCTGCTGAATTCTTTCCAGTATATTATCAGCAGAGGCTTTGCCACCCATCCATTCCAATCCTTTCTGCTGCCCTGGACACAGCCATTTCTGCTTTCCCTTCTACAGGTTTACAAGTTTACCAAAAGACTGCAGCATTCTTCTGTATTACAGTTTTCCCTACAACAATGAGGCGTAGTTCAAGTACTAGTCGAATCAGTTGCCGGCAATCCATCCAGCCACTGAGGGTGCAGGATACTAATAAGACGGGACTTCATACACCCCAACCGTAAGACAGTCAGATTCCTTTAGTTGAGGTGGCATTCATTTATTTGGCTTACATTTCCAAAGCATGCTTGCTGAAAATATGAATGCCACTTGTGTTTTACTCTTGTTACTCTTAAAGGCATATAATATGTATTCTATGTAAAAAAAAATGGTTAATTAGATAAATTCACTACTTTGTGTAAGCTAGGATTAAAGTATGATCTATTCTTTAATTTACTCATGCAGTAAACTATAATAGAAAGTACATATTAAGGAATAGACCACATTAAAATCAAATGTAACAAAAAATAAACAACAGATAACTTTATTGGATGGCATATGAAGATGATTTCAGTTTTGGTGGTGTTTAATAATTTGTACAATTCAATAATATTTTCTTTTCAAGGCAAGAGAGAAGGACTACTTTTGGAAAGCAGAGTGTGGGAAAGCATGCACCAGGGACATCAGAAAGGAAAACTAGTTTTTTTGGCAAAAGGTAATTAGCATTTCACTTGGTAGGATTAACTTGAATATTACAATGTTTCAGTATCACTTCCACTAGAATAAAGGACAAGAAAAAGCATCAAGGACTTAGGTAATTTTAAGTGCAGGAAAGCCTTGCATCAGGAGTAAAAAAAAAGTATTAGAATTTGTGCTAGTATCTGAAGCTTTCGAGAATTGACAGGACCCTTCTCCAAAAATGTGCCCTGGCCATTTTTGGAGTGGGACTTTAACATATCATGTAAAGTCTGCTATAGCTTTCAAATCAATAAAATTTGTATTATTCTGTCTTATATTCTCAATATAAGAGCTGGAAGACTTTCAAATGACATTGCCATTCTATTAAGTCTCATTTGTTGTTATAAATTGTATTTTCTATATTTAAATAGTTTTGCAGAGATAAAATGAATAATGCCATAGTTAACCTGGTTGCATATTTTTCTGGTTTTAATTCTAGGACTAGTGGCCCTGGGAGCTTACGGAACAGTCAATATGGTGCATTTGGAAGCATGGAGAAAATCAAAGAGCCTAGACCACTTCATGACAAAGCATTCATTCAGCAATGTATCCGTCAACTTTGTGATGTATGCAGCACTTGTTTAGTTTAACTAATTAAATCTCTCTTTAATCAGACTAAACTGTGACTGCTGATCAATGAAATTTGGAAAAAGTAAGGTCAAAATAGACTAATGAGCCAAGAAATAACGGGCCATCCAGGTTTTTAAAAAGATATGAATTTTAAAATCACAAATGCTATGAACTATCACACTTTTCACAAAAAAACAATGCATCTTAGAACTCTCAGCAATATATTTTAATTATAGCAAATATATATGTAAATCTTTGTTAATTAAAATACATGATTAATCTGCAAAGTTCTCTAATTGAACAATAATTTGGCGCATACAGAGGTCTGGATTGCTCTGTAAACTAGCATAAAAACACAAACAAGTAATACTTTTAATTTTTTTTCCTAGTTTCTTCTAACATATGGATACGGTCCTACAGTCTCTGTGAAATCACTCCAAACTCCTTCTGTTAAGGACTTTGTGAAAATTTTCAGCTTTATTTATGAACTTTTTTGCCCTTCATATGACCTTTTGGGTTCTAAATTTGAAGAAGAAATCCCAAGAATTTTTAAAGACCTTGGGTAAGTACCTCCCCATTTAATTAATTTCACCAATTAAAAAGAATATAACTAAAAATATTTTGTGGATAATACATTTCTTGATTACATGTTAGAAAATTACCATCTTCCAGAGTTTATTAAGACTCTTAACTTTATTTCATTTTAATTTAGTAATATTTATACAATATATTATTATAACTAGTCAAACTATTTGTGTTACAGGTAGTCTCATTTAGCAGCCACAATTGAGACAGGCAATGCGGTTGTTATATAATAGCTAAATAGAAAATCATATTGTGCTTATGATTTCAGCTTCTTTTGCTTTACAGCATCAGAAGAATAAAACCCCAAAGAAGCTAGGTGAGCCTAAATGGCGGCGAAGGTTTCTGGTACTTGATTCACAAGGACGTTTGGGTAAAAGGGCAAATATAGGTCTTTTTCTTCTCTTCCCCCACTCTTTGGAATGCTCAGCCCAGTGCTGAGATATTTAGCAACGGAAAATTGATGTTTATATTCATTGGAGAGACAGGGATTACATGAAAGTAAACAGGCACAATGGAATACACATTGAAAGAAATGAGCTAGTGCCAGCTTTTTGCCTAGCATGCTCCCAAGCCCTGAGCCTCTTTTAGTGGGCAAAAAAAAAAAAAAAGCTGAAGGTGTGAAACTGATTAAAGTCTTGTCACTCATAAGCACCAATTACTAAGGTCACAGGGCTGAGCTGGTCCAGCATAGACAAGTACTAACTGACTAATGCGCAAAGGTTGTAAATGTGAGCACTGTTCACAAAGTTACTTTTTCATCGCTGTTGTAACTTCACTCACTGCCCGAGGCTAAATGAGGTCTATTTGTTAACAAGAAAACTACATAGACACTCCTGAGTGTCTGCCAGGAATTTTGCTTAGTTTGAAGGCAGACACTTTATACAGCAAATATAATAATATATGTGTTCTCTACAAATGATTCCTGACTTCAACATAATATTGACATCTGGGGTTGCAAGCTATTGATATGATTTTATTTTGGCATGATTGTCTACCTGTATCTTATATATAGCTATATCCTATATAGAGAGGGGGAACCTTAAGTTGTTCATAAGAAAATAAAGAAGGTGGGATTCTTAACATTCATTTTAACTAATTATTTTATGGAAAATAAAAATAAGTACAGTTCCTTTTTATATTTAAGTGTAATTTGAATTGTATGTGGCATTTTCTTGAAAAAATTTTTTTTAAATAGAAAACATATTTTCCTTACAGTTATCCATTTCCTTTGTCGAAAAGCTCTATGTATACTGTGGGTGCTCCTCATACGTGGCCTCAGATTGTAGCAGCTCTGGTGTGGCTGATAGATTGTTACAAGGTATTGAAAGGTTCTGGCACAAAGTGAAATTGTTTAGTCTATCTGTTGCTTTCTTGCTTTTTGTAATCGGCTTTTGCACCAGGGAAATCTCATGCAAACGTGGGAAATATGTACATGGATGGAATGTACTAAAGGAGGGAATAAGAGTGTACAGGAACGATTGATGTCTTCCTTATGATATAATGGCTCTGTTGTCTAATTTTCATTGGCTAACAAAGTTTATAAAGCAATGCTACTAACTTTCTAAGGTATGGCACTTCTGGCCGTAACTCTGCCAGTGTTCCAGATTGTTTGCCACCCCGCTGCTTAATTTGATCAGATAAAGTGCTGCTTGATGAAGAAGTCTCCGCTTGGGTTATCTATTAGACAGATATGATATCTCAAGTTCAAGTAAGGGACTGGGCCCTTACAGTATTATAGATAACCAATTATATATTTAGCCACATTTATAGGTATTTGCTATTTCACCTAATGTTGATCTTATAAATATAGAAGTGATACACTGAAAATATATAACTGGGTTAATAAAATTCTTGATGTTCTTGTGATTTTAACAGATTCTTTGTAATATATAATGCATCATTAGAACTATTGTTGCACTTTTGTTGCCACATTAATTTTATCAAGCAAATAATGATAAATTTGCTATCAGTAATTTTCAGGCAAAGGGCCACATTTGAGTTCCATGCCAGGAACTCACCAAAAGTGAATGAGACCCAGAACAAAATAAATTTCATTAAAAATTAATATTTT